TGCTGCCACAGCCTCGGTCTACTCGCCGAGCGGAGGCGAGTATTCGGTCTCTGACCCCACGGTTCTCGCTGACCTGGAAACGGTGGTCTTCGCGATCTCGATTGCCCCTGGCAACGAACCTGCCATTTTGGATGGCCCAACCTTGATTGTGAACGGCTCAACCTTCGGCGCCGCCGACAACGACTGGGACCTAGGTTCGCAAACCAGCACGATTGGCGGATTCGAAGTCACACAAACGACTTACGCCTACCAATGGGACTTGAGCGCTTTCGGCAGCGCCATCACTTCGTTCGATATCCAATACGAAGTCAATGACCACGCTCAGACCTATGCCCTGCAACTCGAGCAAAGCGATGCCTATTCGCTTATCAGCCCGGTTGCCGTGCCCGAGCCCTCGACGTTCGTTCTGGCTGGGATGGCACTTGCCGCCCTCGTCCTGCGATTCCGTCGCCGCATTCGCTAGCAACTTCTCGGGGGGCCCGTTGCCTCAGGTCCCACCGGGATGTATTCGACGCCACGTCCCCGGCTTAAACCCCGGGGGCGTTGTCGTTTACGGCAATTCAGATCCGTGAGTAACGCCGCAGATGTGATCATCTAGACACCAATAGGCCTCATCGAGGCTTCGAACCCCTCGATGCCCGCCCCCTGTACCGTGCTTTATTGTCCCGCTTCCGGCCCCGGCGCGCAACTACTACCATGGAAATGCTGGCATTGGAGGAGAATTTCATTCTGCTGCCCTGCCAAATGAAGTCGCAACAATTTCCATGTAAAGAGGTTAAGACAAACTCACGTCGTTTGCCGACCTGAAACTTAGCCTACGAACGAATGGTACAAAGTAGTACAAGTAGTTGACGCACAGTGCCCGAACGCACGGCGTGTCGCTCGTGGTAACGGACAACCCGATAGCCGCCCCAAAGAGGGAATGTCATGTTGAAGAAGCTTTCGTTTCGGTTAATCGCACTTGCGATCACTTCGGTTGTACTAACAACGGCGGCCCAGGCCGCTGAAACCCGAAATCTCATCGGCCACGAAGTCGATGGTTTCGAGCTTCACGACTTCCGCGGCAAGGTTCATAACCTGAGCGACTACGACGATAAACAGTTGGTCGTCGTGGCCTTCATGGGAATCGAGTGCCCCTTGGCCAAGCTCTACGCTCCCCGCCTCGAGGATCTGTGGGAAGAGTTCAGTCCTCAAGGAGTTCAGTTCCTGATGATCGACTCGAATCAGCAGGACACCATTACCGAACTCGGAGCATTCGCCCGGAACAACAAACTGACATTCCCCGTCTTGAAAGACCCGGACAACGCGGTGGCCGATAAGTTCCGTGCCGAGCGAACTCCAGAAGTCTTCATTCTCGATGGAGAAGGCAAAGTTCAGTACAACGGCCGCATCGACGATCAATACGGCCTCGGCAGCAATTCAGGATACGCCCGTCCCGAGATCAAGCGTCGCGACTTGGCGGTGGCCCTGGAAGAGCTGCTCGCTGGAGAAGACGTTTCTGTCCCCGTCACCAAGGCCAATGGTTGCATCATCGGTCGCGTCACCAAGGTTGATCCCCACGGCGATGTCACCTACTCGAATCAGATTGTGCGGATGCTGCAAGATCGCTGTGTCCAGTGCCATCGCGACGGCGAAATCGGACCTTTCTCGCTGACCGACTACGACGAAGTCGTCGGTTGGGCCGAGATGTCGCGAGAAGTGATTGACGAAGGTCGCATGCCGCCGTGGTTTGCCGATCCGCAGTATGGCCACTTCCAAAACGATCTACGCTTGACCGACGAAGAAAAAGAACTCTTCAACACCTGGGTCGATAACGGTTGTCCCGAGGGTGACCCCGAGCAGCTTCCTCCTCCTCGCGAATTCGCTGAAGGCTGGCAGATTGGCGAACCCGACATGATCGTGCACATCGCCGACGAGGCGTTCACGGTTCCGGCCGAAGGTGTGGTCGAGTACCAATACTTCACCGTCGACCCCGGCTTCAAAGAAGACACTTGGGTGGTGGCGACCGAAGCTCGTCCTGATAATCGAGCCGTGGTCCATCACATCATCGCCTTCATGCACCCACCGGAAAGCGGAGGCCGCGGTGGTAGCGCCTTGCGATCGGGTCTTGGTGGATACGCTCCTGGTTCGGGTGCCCGCATCTACCGCGATGGCGTAGGCACCTTGGTTCCCGCCGGCAGCCTTATCACGTTCCAGATGCATTACACGCCCAACGGCACCGAGCAAAAGGATCGCAGCTATCTTGGCCTGAAGTTTGCCGACGCGAGCACAATCACCCATCGGGCCGACGGTGGAATCACCGGGAACGTCTCGTTCCGCATTCCGCCGGGCGACCCTAACTACGAAGTGACTTCGAAGAAGAAATTCCGCCGTGATACCACGCTGGTGGGCCTGACCCCTCACATGCATCTGCGCGGGAAGGCCTTCCGCTTCGAGGCCGAGTACCCCGATGGCAGCACCGAGATTCTGCTGGATGTGCCGAAGTACGACTTCAACTGGCAGTTCACCTACAACTTTGTCGAGCCAAAGATCATCCCCAAGGGAAGCTACTTACGCTGCACGGCCCACTACGATAACTCAACCGACAACCTGGCCAACCCCGACCCGACCGAAGAAGTCACCTTCGGAGACCAGACCTGGGAAGAAATGATGTTCGGTTTCTTCACGTCAGTCGTACCGTTGGAGCCCGAGTCGGCTGAAGAATCCGAGGCCCCGGCTGACGACACCCCGTCGGCTGGCGATGCAGACTGATACGAACGAGGCGTAGCGGCGCCTTGAACAACGAGAAGGCCGATCACCTTGATGTGGGTGGTCGGCCTTCTTGCGTTAGGTAGCTTCTTAACAAAGATCGAGAGACACGGCGTGACCGGCGTTCTACTCGCCGCCGACTGCTGGCACGGGCTCGCCTCCAGGACCTAAGCTCTCATCGTCGCTGAGAATGTACATTGCCATCGCGGCCAGCATCAGCACCACCACGGTCCATGTGATCCAATTCTTGTGCAGACCAGCACCGCCTTTGCTCTGATCTTTGTGTGGATGAGGGTGCTTCGATTTATTCGACATGGTCAAAAACCTTTGGGATCTTGAGGGGTAAGCTGGCGATGAAAACGCTGAGCAAGTATAGCGTCGATTTTCCTGAAACCGACAGCAACCGAACGAATCGAAAAAGTACCACTTGCGATAAGCCGACACAACGCCGCAGGTTTCAGGTTCCGAAGTTCGAATGTACGCCCTATTCCGGTCGTACGGCCAAGCACCGATTCCAACTTGGCCCTGTGAACGCTGCACACTCAAGCCAGATTACTCCCCACTTCGTCGACCCAAACGCCTGCGAATTTCGTATTAAATATAGAGAGAGCGGATCACGGGTGTGACCGCCAGGTTACTCTGGTTTGCGACGTGCGGGTGGCCAAGTGGCCTGATAACAAGCTGCCGCACGCAACGGTTTCAGTCGAGGCAAGGAGGTGTGTCATGGCACGCTCACTCACCGAGTGGACCTCCCGGCTACCTCGCCGATTGGAAGGCGACATGGAGAACCTGTTTGAAAGGTTCTTCGGCCCGGTTGAGAGGCCGCTGGTAGGCTTCGAGGGCTTTGTGCCGCGGACCAATGTGGCAGAAACAGACGGCGAGTTTGAAGTCACGGTCGAACTGCCTGGTATGAAGGCCGAGGAGTTCGAAGTCGAACTGAAAGACAAGGCGATCTGGATCTCGGGCGAGAAGAAGGAAGGGAAGGAAGAAAAAGGCAAGGAGTATCACCGCGTCGAGCGGCACCACGGAGAATTCCGCCGAGTGATCCCACTCCCCACCGAAGTTGAGGAGGAACAGATCTCGGCCCAATACACCGATGGTGTGCTGACGGTGCGGGTACCTAAGGCCGCCGAAGTGAAGCCCAAACACATTGAGATCAATACCTGATCTCTCGCGAACATCGCGAACCCAAGACCCGGGAGCTGCGGCAATGGCCCCCGGGTCTTGCTATGCGCTGACCAGGAAGCTGGAGCCAAGTCGAGCACTGAGATCCGACCAGCCTACTCTTTCCCCCTCCGCCCTACCCCACTGTTCTCCAACTCTTCAATCGTTCGCGGCCAGTCAGACTTCAACAACCGAGAAAGCGAGCGGTCGGCCAGCACCTTGCCTTCAGTTTGGCAACGGGGGCAATAGTTGGTATCGTTCTCTGCGTAGCGAATCCGCTGCACCGCAGTCCCGCACTCCGGGCACGGCTTTCCGAATCGCCCGTGCACGGCCATCTCTGTACGAAACGCAGTCACCTTTTCCGGAAAGCCATCGCTCGTCTTCGCACGCAACAAGTCCGTCCACTGCCGCAACGTGCCTTGGATCGCGGTGAATAGCGATCGGGCTTCCTCATCTTTCAATTTCTGCGTGTGGGCAATGGGCGAGAGTCGCGCGGCATGCAGAATTTCATCGGAGTAGGCATTCCCAATCCCACTGAACAATGTCGGATCGGTTAGTGCTCGCTTCAGCGTGTGATTCCGTCGGCGGAGTACAGCGAGAAACTTCTCGAAGTCGGCATCCAATACTTCCAACCCAGGCGGTTCATGAAGCGAGAGATTGTCCTCATGCACAAGATGTAACGATGCTCGCTTCTTAGTCCCCGCCTCGGTCAATGTGAGCGAGCCCGCGTCAAAGTCGAACGCCGCTAAGTTAACCCGTCCTCCGAGAGATGCGTTCGGCTTCTTCCAGTGCAGGCGACCGGCGATCATCAAGTGAAGCACCAGCCATAACTCGCCTTCAAAACCAAAGGCAATGCGTTTGCCGAGTCGACGAAGCTCGAGCACCTTGCGACCATGAACCGACTCAATCGGTGGGTCGGCCGTTCTCAGCAAGAAAGGGCTAGCCAGCCGCACGCGTTCCAACGTGTGGCCAACGATCCGCGGGATTAGAGCCTCGATGTAAACCGTGATATCGGGCAACTCGGGCATGGTCGAAAAACGTCATTCCCAGGAATTCAACTTGCCGATAACACCCCGACCCAAGGCTCTCTACTTCCGATAATCGAGTGGCGGCTTCTGCTTGGGTTCAAGCAGAGCTTGGTACTGCTTGCTCGCGAGACGCTTTTGATGCTCTTTCTTGGCAGCGGCGATGACATCGGGTTGTTGGTACATATCCCACATCGTGGCAGCCAATACTTTCGCGGCCATCAGCATGCCCTTGCGGCCGATCGTTGTGCCCCCACTGGCCACCGCTTGCCACGAATGGCCAGGGGTACCGGGAACCCAGCACACCGTGGAGAACCCAGTTGTCGGCACAACCCAAGACACATCACCCACGTCGGTCGATCCCATCTTGGTCGAACCACTGGCATCGACCACTTCAGTAATTGAGTCCAGCGACGGCTGCTCCAGCAGTGTCGATTGTATCCGCGCCGCGAATTGCTTCTCGGTCTCGTCGTATTGCAATTGATTGAGCGCTCTGAGATTGGCCAGGGTCAATCGCTTTAGAGTATCGTTCGGCAATATCTCCACCGTACCACCGAGATACTCGACTTCCAGCTTTGTTTCGGTCGCCAACGCCCCGCCCTTGGCACACAGCACAAGCCGGTTGTAGAGATCACGCACCACTTCAGCCTGCGGATGCCGGACATAGTAGAACACTTCTGCAAACTCCGGCACTACGTTCGGGGCGCCGCCGCCGGAAGTAATGACGTGATGAATCCTCGTCATGTCGGGCGTATGTTCACGCAGCATCTCCGCCGCATAGTTGGTCAGCTCTACGGCGTCTAAAGCCGAACGCCCCAGGTGAGGCGATGCACCCGCATGTGCGGCACGACCATGGAAACGAAACTTCACCGCGCAACGCGCGAGGCAACTAGGGTCACCGGCCGCGTTACGACTGCTGGGGTGCCAGTGCACAACCGCGTCGCAATCGTTGAACAATCCGGCCCGAACCAGAAAGACCTTCCCCGAGCCGCCTTCCTCTGCCGGACAACCATAGAAGCGAACCGTTCCTCGAATCTGTCCGGACCGAATCTGTTCAGCAATCGCGATCGCCGCCGACACCGAAGCGGCCCCAAACAAATGGTGTCCACAGGCATGGCCGTACTCGTTTCCTTCGATGGGCGCGCGCTGCGGAACGGCCTGCTGCGAAAGTTCTGGCAGAGCATCGTACTCGCCCAAGATACCGATGATCGGATGGCCATCACCAAACGTGGCCGTAAACGCCGTCGGCATCTCAGCCACGCCGCGCACCACCTGAAACCCAGCCGCTTCAAGCTGCCCGGCCAACAACCCGGCCGATTGCACCTCCTGGTATCCCGGTTCAGCCCACTGCCAAATCTTCTGAGCCGCATCCCAGGTTTCATCGGCCCTTGAGTCAATGGACGCGTTGAGTAACTCTTTTTGAGCCAGGCATGACTCACCACTCAGTAGTGCGACTACCACCATTAGCTCAAGCAAAAATGCCCAGCTAGTCTGGCCGCGAGAGCGGCGAACTGCCGTACCAACCGCACACAACTTCTGAAGGCGGTCCATCAACCACTCCACTTTGTGCGACACATTGCGAACAGCGTGAATGCCAAAATCCGCTCGTGTCAGTAATTCGCCCCTGATCGCAAGCCGCCCTTAACGGTGCCAGCCAGCCCGACGACACCGATTAAACCATGCGAAACAGCTTGTTAGATTCTACAGAACAGACCGGTCGAGATAAGCTTGAGAAGCGGGGAAACTAGAGTCTCCGACGCTGATCCCCATGGTATCTTCGCTGCAAAACGACTGCAATGTAAAGCCAGCTCAAGAGTTGCGCCAAGCTGCCTTTGGATGCCTACCAGGTTGTCTGAGATTGCGGTAATCACCAAGCAATCTTATTCATCGATATGTGCTACCGCAGCCCCGAGCTTGCTATTGGGATGGAATGCTGGACTCTGGCTGCAGGCGTGTCCTCGGCTCAAAAGATTGGGGGAGACCTCACCTTGCCCGTAGTGCGGCGAGTCGTTACGCACTCCAAGGGCAAAGCAATGTCGGTTCTGCAAAATGGATTGGCACGACCCAAACAATGTAGATCGAAAGCAGGCTTAAACTTCCCCCCCCCGACAAAGACAATGCCTGTCATCACTATTCTCCATTCCGTGGATTCCGAATGGCAATGAGGGGAACGCAGGCTGACACACAAGAAATGTCTGCCAGAGGATCGAGCACCAACAGGATGCACTGCTTACTTCCGGACAGCGAACTGCAGATGGGTTCCGCCGGAGGTGGCCTTGTGCCTGGCGAGCAGCGGGCATTGCAAAGTCTGGCCTGACGATCGTCACGACCGAATGAGCGCCGTGACAATCTACACGACAGCCGGTTGGCTCTGCCCTCGCAGCTTGCGTGTCCATAGCCAGTCGCCAGCGAGAATCACGATCAGCGACAGGCCAATCACTGGCAGGGTAATACTCAGGACAAGAATCGTGAGGAGTATCCAACGCGGAATCTTCACCCCTACGTAGCGGCGGGGTAGTCCGGCAGAACCCTTGGGACGCCGAACCCACCACATCCAGATCCCGGTAACTGGAAGAGCCATCAGCACGAGACAGGCCAAGAGCCACGGAATTTTGGTCCACATTCCCAGCACCGATCCTACGTGCAATGGATAGTTCCAGGTGGCCCACCATCCGAGTGCAGGGTACTCGCTATTGTGAGTGTGCATCAAAACTTCGGCTGTAGCGTGATCGAGCACCACAACCTCGTCGCTCGAAGGCCCCGTCGGCTGGCTGGCAAACACCACGAACGCACCATCGTCGTCGTGCGGTAAGTGCACCGACAATGTCTTATCCGGCATCACCTTCCCTGCGGCGACCACAATCTTATCGAGTGGAAGACGGGGCACGCTGGCTGCAGAGTTCGAGTGGGGCGGGTTCAGAAAGATATCGTAGGCACCGGTGGTGAAAGCGGCGAGTCGATATCCGGAGCCCCAGACATAGGTGTAGAGCAGCCCGGTGGCGGCGATCAGTATTGCCACGATCGCAACGTAGACACCACCCAAGGCATGCAAATCGCGGAGGGCAACGTAAGGCTGCCTTCGCAAACGGGGCAACCACGTTCCCCAAAGTTTCGCACGACCGCGAGGCCACCAGAGATACGTCCCAGTGATTAACAACACAATGGTCCAGCAGGTCATCAGTTCAACCACGATGCGACCAAATGTGCCGACGAATAGGGTGCGATGAATCTTCAGCACAATCCGAAAGAACTCACTGGAACCTTGAGCGCCGAGAAACTCTCCACGGTATTGGTCGACGTATAAGGCCTGAAACTCGCCACCACTATTTCCATATATTGTCGTGGCATGGGTCGGGTCGTTCGGCACCACAATCTGACTGGGTTCGAACTCAGGCGGCATGGCCGCGATTGCCGCGGCGAGTTGATCGTCGTAACTGGTGCGCTGACGATCCTCAGCGACCACCATCAAGTGATCGTAGAAAATCAACTCAAGTTCGCTCTTGAAGAGGTACAGCGCACCGGTGCACGCCGCGACAAACAAGATCGGGGCAACGAACAGGCCCGCGAAAAAATGCCATCGCCAGATGGTGCGGTAGAGCCTTGATGCCGCCTGCGATTCATTTCGCGGCGACTTCTGCGCATGGATTGGCTGTTCGACCTTGGAGCCAGTCGGAGGTTGAGCGAGGGACACTTCACGCCTCTGTGGAGCTATGGCTGACGCCATGCGTAACGCATCACAATGCCCCATGGGCCAAAGTAATGCCGTGCACAATCAGGACGGCAGCAGCAGGAAGACGATTACCCCTGACCGGGAATCTGGCTGGCGTGAAGGGCTGGCTGGGACCCAAACTTTCCGGGGTACAGTTGAGACACATTCTCACCTGCTGTAGTCTACCCTTGTTGCCACTCACATCAAGCGCCGAGTTGACGGCTTAAACCATTGGTCGAATTGACTCACTTAGCTGAACTGAATCTCCCCTCATACGACCTGCTCTGATCGAACCATATGCTCGACCTCATCCTAACTCTCACAATTCTGTCAATGCCGCAAACGGCCGCCGAGGATTCTACCCGGCCCACCTCTGGGGAAGATGAACTCACTGCAAAAATCGAAGCAGTTATGGAGGACCGACGAGTTCCTGGCGCGGTGGTAGGAGCCTACCGTGGCGAAACGTCACTCTACGAGCAAGCCATCGGGCTAAGTTCGGTGGACCCCGAAACTCCCCTCTCGCTCAATCACACCTTCCGTATCGGCAGTGTTACCAAGACCTTCTTAGGCGTCGTTGCGTTGCAACTCGTCGACGAAGGCAAGCTGTCTCTTGATAACCATCTAGCGGATTACCTCCCCGACTTTCCCCAGGCCGAAAAGATCACTTTGCAGGATCTCGGCACGATGATGGCCGGCACGAAGGATCCGCTCCATTCGCCCAGATTCAAGTTACGAGCCCAGATTCAGGCAAATAAGGCATGGACGGCCGACGAGCTGATCGACTTCGCCGCTGAGCAGCCTCCGTGGGCCGACCAGATTGGAAAAGAGTGGCATTATTCGAACATGGCGGCCATTTTGCTGGCTCAGGTCATCGAGAAAGCAACCGAAAATTCGTTTGAAAACGAACTGCAGAACCGAATTCTCAAGCCCTTGCAACTCGAAAAAACAGGATACGAACTGACGAACGAGCTGCCAGAGCCATTCGCACACGGCTACTCGTACACCCCGGTGGGCCGGCACTTGTCGCGTGGAGATAAAGAGATTCGGGACGTCTCGGACATCAATCCTTCGATATGGAACGCAGCCGGGGCGATGTACTCGACGTTGCCCGACCTCAGAGTTTTTGCCCGCGCATTAGGACGTGGAGAACTAGTTTCTGAGGCAAGTCACAAGATGCAAACCAACTTGCGAGCGATCCCCTGGGAAGGTCACGAGTACGGCTTCTTACTCATCAAAGTCCACGGGCTGCTCGGCCACGGGGGAGATGTTCCCGGGTACCACTGTTTCATGGGCTATCGACCAGAAGACGACCTGACGATTGTCGTGCTGACGAACATACACGCCTGGTCGATTGATACCGAGCCCGCGAAAGAAATCGCGGCTCTATTGGCCGAGCATTTCCAAACCCCTGACAAGTGATTTGAGAATTTGCTCAAACGCAGGGCCAAGTGATAGACGAACGACTTACACGATTCCGTCAAAAAATTTCTTCGACTTCATAGTTGACACTCGGTTTAGCTCACCTACAATCAAGCCTCTTGAGATTGAATCTCAACTAAATCACGCCAGCCAGGGAACTCTCCCCCCAGCCAGCCACACGCCTGAGGCCATATGGCCCAGGCATGCGTCTCGTCCGCGAGCCATCGCCAAACGACGAGCCTTCGTTAAACAGCGTTTTTTGCCTGAAGGCTGGCTAGTGAACCCCAGGCGACCCTCGACTCGGTCGTTCCCGCCACACTTTCAACGAATCCTTCACCGGATCGCGTTGCGCGTTCACGCACCGTTTGCGTGACTCTCGGCTTGCACGCTCCTATTGCGCGCCCACCGAAACGGTATGCGCGTGGGTGAAGGTTCCGAAATCACATTCATCCACAGGAGACCCTCATGCGCAATTTTGTATTCATGTTGACCGTTTGCAGTTCACTTTTTGTCCATTCTTTCGTGGTGGCAGCCCCGGCCTCTCTTCCGCTGAGCGGAACAGCCGACGGAAGCAGCCGCTGGTACGAGTACTTTTCCGATGGCTTTGCTCAACTCGACCAAGGCTTTGGCGGGAACCCTGCCTTGGACGGATTCTTTCTCATTAGTTCTTTGCCTGCCTTTGATCCGATTGGCGGTGGGGCCAACGTTTTCCCGAACGAAGCAGCCTTTAATCTTGGAACGATCAGCTACGACGACGCAGGGCTTTCCGGTTCGGGTCTCGAGAACACGCCCATTACCGGCTACACGGTCGACATGGCGCTCAACATTGCCGATGACGATGCCATTGTGAGCCAGGGTTACACGACAACCCTCCAGAATGTTGCCGGCAGTCTCACCTTCTTCAATGGTGCTCTGGCCGCCGTGAACATGACCAGTGACATCGTCTTCACCTACGACTTCTCAGGTTTCGGAGGCGGTCTTCTCGATTTCACGGGCGCGTTCGACTTCAACGGCGATTCGTTCGAACTGTTGGTAGACAACGAATCGTACCCCAGCGGATTCGGCGCCGACATCAAGTACGCCTGGGAAAGCACCGGAAGTATTGACGGACTGGCCGCGGTGCCCGAGCCGGGAACCTTCGCCCTCTTGGCATGCGGTGGATTCTCGCTGGTGGTGGGAGCCCTCATGCGAAATCGCAAGCGGCTGCAGTCATAGACCGCCGCTCGAAACACCACTCATTCAACCTAAACATTTATATCTAAGTCAGGAGCATGACTCATGAATCGGATTGCCTGGACGTTACTTCTCTCATTCACCATCTGCGGTGGATTGTACTCAACGCTGAGTGCAGCTCCCGTCAGCGTGGATCTCAGTGGGACCGATCACACGGGCGTTCTCTCGATGTCCAACCTAAAAAATTGGGCGACAGAACCGGACATCGTCACCCAGTCCCCTTATCCGTACTTCTACGACAGCGGCGCGGGGCTCTGGAAGAGCATTGCGGCCGAGCCGCTCTCACCTACAACTACCTATGTCGAGGAAGGAAGCTTCACGGTCGTCAACAAGATCTTGAGTGATGCCGACTTTTCCACTCGCTCGAGTGGAACCATCGACTACGATGATGGGCCGCTTACCGGATCCGGTCCCGAAACGGTCGGCGCTGGTGACGTATCGTTCACCTTCAACGAAGATGGATTTTCGCCATTCTACTCGCCCAACAATGCGGGCTCTGGCTTCGGCAATTTCGGTTGGGCCTATGTGATTACGGCCAACAACATCAGCGGCACCGGACTCTCGTTCGTCGATGGCCAGCTCGTCTCGATCGACCTGACTGCTGACATCAACATCTTGGTTCAATTCGGCGACAACCCAGCCTTGGTGTTCAACGAAGCCGGCCCTAGCACAGCGCCGGCCGTTTATGCCGGATCTTTGAACATCACCGGGAATAGCTTTGCCTTCGACGTCGACGTCACTAAGGCGGTCGATTCCGCCCTGGGCTCATTTGCGGAAACGCATCTAGTGTTCAACCGACAAGGTTCGATCGCGGCCGTCGTGCCCGAGCCATCCAGCGTTGTACTAGCGGGAATGGGCCTCGGTGCACTGTGTGTTGCACCTTGGATGAAACGGAAACGTGGCAAGCGAGCTTCGTCGTAAGTTCGAATGTTGGTTGAATCCCAGAAGCCTAACTGTGCCTAAGCCTTTGAAGTCTGCTCGACCACGTAGGAACGTCGCCTCACCGCTACGACTCGAGGAGGATCCTCGTCCGGGCCAGCGGCACGGATGCCGTCGTGGCTTCACGCTGGTCGAGTTACTTGTAGTGATCGCCATCATCGGATTGTTGATCGCGATTCTTCTGCCGGCTGTGCAAGCCGCCAGAGAAGCGGCTCGACGTACTTCGTGCTTGAACAATCTGAAGCAAGTTGGGCTCGGGCTACACAACTTCGCAAATCTGAAAGACGAACTACCGGTGGGCTACGAGTTCACCATCTCTGAAGATGACGAAGTCGGAAATAGCGGCGCGGTGGTCAATGGTTTCTTCACGATTATCCTGCCTTACCTCGAACAGGCACCTTTGGAGACCACCTACAACTACGAGCAAGGCTACGACCACGAAGTAAATCAACCGGCGGTCAACACTCCTATCGCAATTTTCCAATGTCCATCGACGCCGGGCGACCGCCAGATGGAGATTGTTAATTTGCTGGCCGCTTACGCCGCCGGCACGCCGAAGCAGGGGCACACCGGCCAGGCGACTGACTACTTCGGAGTTCGCATTATCCACGATTCCACAGGCACTAGGGGCAAAGGTGTATTCGTCGGACTCTTTCCACCAATTGTCGGAGGAGAGCCCGAATACCCGGTGAAGTTAGCTCACATCACCGACGGACTCTCGCACACCATGATGTTAGTCGAGATGGCTGGCCGACCAACGCGATACATCGGTGGCTTCGATACCGGCAAACACGATTACTACGCCGGTACTTGGGCCGGGGTAAACGGAGAAATGCTCTACTCGATTCGCCCCGACTCCGAGACAGCCCCAATACACGGCGACTGCTTTATGAACTGCCACAACCTCTACACGCCATACAGTTTTCACCCCAACGGTGTGACGATGATGCTCTGCGATGGATCTGCCCGCTTTGTCGCCGACACGATCGACTTCAAAGTACTGTGGGCTCTCGTGCAGTATCAAGATGGCCAGGTTGTGAAGGATTACTAAACCAATCAAACCTTAAGCCAAGCTAACCACGCAGAAGGATCCACCTATGGCCCATTACACCGGACCGAAAGCCCGCATTAACCGTCGTTTGGGAGTGAATGTCTTCGAAAGTGCCGGCGCACTGAAGGCATCCGAGCGTCGCCCACAGCCGCCGGGGATGCATTCGCGCCCTCGCAAGCTCTCGGTGTATGGGCAAGCCATGCAAGAGAAGCAAAAACTGAAATACTACTACGGTCTAAGTGAGGCTTCCTTGCGTCGCTTGTTCCATAAAGCTCGTAGAAGCCGAGGTAATACCGGAAACGCATTGCTGTTTCTTTGCGAACGCCGCATGGACAACGTCGTCCGTGAAGTCGGGTTCACTAAGACTCGCCCTCAAGCCCGACAGGGAGTGGCACATGGGCACTTCCTCCGCAACGGCAGGAAGCTGGATGTTCCTTCGGCCCTGGTAAGAGTGGGCGATATCATCGACGTCAAACGACGCCCGAACCTGGTCGCCTTGTACCGCGGCTGCATGGAAGAGAGCGTCGGAGCAGTCCCAGGCTGGCTCTCGCTCGACGTCGAGAACCTCCGCGCAGAAGTAATATCCCTACCTGGCGTCGACGATATCACTCTCCCGGTCGATATCGGAATGGTCGTCGAGCTTCTGGCACGTTGATTCGCAAGAGTACCCGTATAGCAGTCCTGCCCCAGTAGGACCCGCCATTGGAAACGGCTTCTTGTGCATAGTTTTGTTGCCAATAACACCAGCCTGATCTCCATCTAACGAGTTGTCGAGCGGTGCAATGAATACAACGGTTGACCTTCGAGATGTGCCAGAAACGATGCTCTGGCCACTATGGAATCGGGCAGCGGAGCAACAACGAAGCGACAAGCTCCTACACGATCCACTCTCAGCGATGCTCGTGGAGAGCATTGACTACGACTTTGAGAAGAGCTTTGGCAGGCCCAGTGCCGGACACCCAATTCGCGCTAGGCTGATCGACGACGCGATTAGAGAATGGCTGGGCAAGCATCCCCTGGGCGCGATCGTCGCGCTGGGCGAGGGCTTGGAGAGTCAGTATTGGCGTGTAGACAACGGCCAAATGAGGTGGTACTCAGTCGATCTTCCGGAAGCTATCGATGTGCGAGAACGCTTCCTCCCACACGAACAACGCATACGGTCGATTGCATGTTCGGCGCTGGACGAGCAGTGGATGGATTGCGTACCGCAAAGCGAGCCACTGTTTATCACCATGGCGGGTCTGTTGATGTATTTCGAGGAGGAGCAGGTCGCGCGACTCCTGGAACGCATTGCGGATCGGTTTCCAGGTAGCGAGTTATACTTTGACGTAATCCCGATCTGGCTTTCGAGGAAATCCGTCAAGGGTGCGAACGTAACAAAGTCGTATCGAATGCCTCCTTGCCCATGGGGACTGAACTACAAGAATCGTGCGTGGTTAACCAATCTACATTCGTCTTTGAGCGTCAAGCGAGTCGTGACTTACACAGACGATTTTCCGCATCGGATGCGACCGTGGTCATGGTTAGCAAAGATTTCCTGGATGAGGAACAACGTTGCACCCTGGTTGGTTCATCTGCAGGTTGCAGAGCGACAGTAGCGCTCCGACGTGTGGTGCGACATCCTAGGTTTCCTGTCTCGCGCAAACTTGGATTCGAGCCAGACAATGGACTAGTTCTTCCTCACCAGAATGAAAAACTTACCTGCGAACAACTGTCGGTCACTTCGACACCATGTCGATTCAATCGACATCCAAGGTCTAGCAAATCACCTTTCTGAAAATGCCAATGCATCCGAATTCGAACGGGTGGTCGTTGAGCGAAGCACTCAATGCACATAAGTTATTCAATCGCCCGAAGGATCTCCTTCGCTACTTGAAGAGCGGTGCACTCTCGCTTATTAAATAAACAGACACTGAAACGACGCTCAACTATTTGGCATCGCTCGCCTAAGAATCTTTCTATCAGGTCAGCAAGGGGGCAATGAACCGCAACACAGGATTCCCCTGAAAGGATGGTCGTTGCTCATTTCGCTTTTTGATAGAGTGCGGCGGGCTAATGACTTTCGGATGTGCATTCAGCTCCACCGTCGAGCAACCCGCCGTTGAGGCGCTCTCCTCTATGTGATGGCAAACCAGGAATGGTGCACCTTACGAGCACCGCATGATCCAACCACCGGAACAGAACATATGCTACGAGTCTCCCGCCTCAGCAAGGTCTACGCGGGGGAAATCCGCGCGATGCGCGAAATCTCGTTTGAGGTGGGCAATGGCATCTTCGGACTTCTCGGACCGAATGGAGCTGGCAAGTCTACGCTGATGCGTACACTGGCGACGCTGCAGTTGCCAGACTCGGGATCCGCGTTTCTCGGCGACATCGACCTGGTGAAAGAACCGCATCGTGCAAGACAGGTGATCGGCTACCTACCACAAGAGTTAGGGGTCTACCCAAGAGTCACTGCACGGGAGATGTTGGAGTACCTCGCCAGCTTGAAAGGAATTGTCCCGAGAAGAGAGCGTCGGAACCATGTAGAAGAACGTCTTGAGCGAGTCAATCTCTCAGATGCGGCAGACCGCCGGCTCGACTGTTTCTCGGGTGGAATGAAACAACGTTTCGGAATCGCCGCGGCCTTCTTGGGTAAACCCAAACTTGTCATTGTCGATGAGCCGACCGCCGGGCTCGACCCCTACGAGCGACGTCGCTTTCAGGTCATGCTCAGCGAAGCGGCGAGCGAATGCGTTCTTCTATTGTCTTCACATATTGTCGAAGACATCGCCGGCCTCTGTTCCCAGATGGCCTTAATCGACCAAGGTGAATTCGTTCTCTCCGGATCGCCTCAGGAGCTTGTTCAATCACTCACTGGCCACGTGTGGGAGTTCTCGGCCAACTTCACAGCCTTGAAGTCACTCCAGGATGCACACCGCGTGCTTTCATGGCGCCCTTGGCGAGGGATGCTGCAAGTTCGAGTCTGGTCTGACGGCGAGCCCGAAGTCAACGGAGCAGTAACCAACGGCTGTTCTGTGACGAAGGTGAAACCCGACCTGGAAGACCTGTATGCATTCCACATTAGTCACGGAGTGTGATCGTGGGCGTCGGTTTCCAAGAACAGTTGCGACTTGAGCTGCGAATTCAACTTCGTCGCCCCTTCGTCTGGTTCTGTTTCCTCGGGTTCTTCGCCCTAGCATTCAGCGACACCGTGCAAGCAGGATGGGGCGGTGAAGGAACATTCTGGATCAATGGTGCGGCGATTATTACCAACCGCGCCATCATTCTCAGCATTACCGGCGTGCTGGCCGTTGCCGGAATCATGTGCGACCCAATGGCGCGAGATCGCATTTACGGCGTTGAGGAAATGATCCTTACGACGCCGGCCGATCGAGCAACCCTGGGCATCGCCCGATTCTCGGCCGCATTTCTAATTGTGATCGCTACATCGATGATGTTCGCCCCCGGCATCGTATTGGGCTCACAGATGCCTGGAATTCCAGAGGAACTCGTCGGGCCGCAGGTGTGGAGCCACTATGCCAAGGGAATGGCTTACTTCCTGATTCCCAATTACTTCCTCTTGTCCGCGCTGGTTTTCGCCGTCTCAGCTCGTTGGCAGAGTCGCTCGATCGCCTTTGGGGCCGGCATCGCCGCAGTCGCACTCTGGAGAACCGCGCATGCCTCGCTGGGCCGTGACGTTCTCCGCCAAGATGTATATACGACCTACGCACTGCTTGACCCTTTCGGGACGATTGCTTCCTGGGAATTCACCATGGGACGCACGGTTGCCCAAAACAATGTGCTCTTCACGCCGCTGGCCGGTACGCTGCTGTACAACCGCATCATTTGGGTTGTCGCGACCTGCCTGTTGATCGGCGTGGGACTTTTGGCAATTCCACTGCGACCCCGATATGCCAAGCTCAAGCGAGCCAAGACTCAACCTACGTGGTTGCTACGCCTATTTAGAAGACGCCCTACTTTGCTTGCAGAGAACTCCGGGCCTGCGACACCAACTATCGTTGACAACCCGTCGCGAAAATTTACCGCCCTAGTGCATTGGGAACTTCAGAGCATCTGGCGAATGCCTGCCACAAAAATTTGCATCGCATTTCTCGTTGTTACCCTCTGGCGGTCCGCATCCAGCGTAATTTCGTATCAGTTCTCATTGCCCAGTACCGACTTGCTGGTACATACCACCAGTTACTATTTCGACAAGGTCTTGGTACTGGCCGTGGTTTGGATCGCCGGAGAGCTACTGTGGCGCGACCATGCCTTGAAGGTGAACGAGCTGATCGATGTACAGCCCGTGCGAGATATGCTTCCTTTCCTCGCAAAGACGGTCACCTTGGTATCCATCGTTCTCGCTTGTTGGGCACTCTCGATCGTGGTCAATGCCAGCTATCAGGCTGCTCACGGTTATTATCGTTTTGAGTGGTGGCTATATCTTGTCGACAGTTTTATCTTCAAAGCCCCCTACTACATCTGGCTGGGCGTTCTCGCCCTCACCTGCCAGGCAGTCATCCGCAAACGCTATGTAGCGATGGGAGTCGTGCTTCTGGTTTACGCCTCTGAAGTGATGTTGGACGCGTTAGACTTGTTTCATCCCATGATTCGCTACGGCCGTGTGAGTCATTTTTACTATTCGCTGATGGATGGTTACGGGCATTTTTGGAAAGCCCATCTATGGACGTCGCTTTACTGGACACTGGCAGCGATCTTAATCTGGCTGATCGGCTGGGGAAGCCTGCCGCGGGGAGTCAATGCCCCGTCGCCTCGCTGGTACTGGCAGCGGCGCTTGTTCGGTGGATCTGGTTTGAGCGCCTTGGCAATCGTCTTCATCGGTTTCGTGAGCGTCGGCAGCTACATCTGGTATCAATCGACGGTGCTCGCTCAATGGCCCCCTGCAAAAGAAGACCGGATTGGGGCTGAGATCGAGAGAGAATACAAGTCTCTGTGGCAAAACACGCCACAGCCCCGTGTTGTTGCAATCAAGGGCCACTTGGATCTCTATCCATCGG